TTATTGATTACTTAACAAATCATATCTAAACACATAATGTGATATATATCTTACATTTGGTCACCTTTATACTCCTACCATTTTCCTTTCTTTTTATTTATATTTTAAAGGTGCAAAATTCTCTTGATCATATTAGTGAAAATGCATAAAATCTTTTGCAAAATTATTTCAATTTATTTACAAAATATAAGTACTTTTAGGAGAAGCAATGCATTGTAGGAATGATTTACTAATTTTTTTAGTAAACATAACTACTACATTAAAAGGTTAAAAAAACTTGATTTTATTATGCTTTAATTAGGAGTGCTTTTGAAGAGAAGAATTAGGGGATTAATTTCTTTGATTCAAGAATTTTTAGCTCTTGTAATTATCAAAAGAAAAAAGAATTTTTAGAGATTGTAACTCTCTTATTATTTGATTTAATAAATTTGACATTTGTGCAAGTTTTCATGTCTTTAATATTCGGCAACGAAATTTGTGCTTACAATTGGACACAAATATGGTAAGATATCCCGCATATGTATGGCATGGATATTTGAGACTTTCAATAAAAAAAAATTTGTTATTAAATTAACATTGCATCACAGTGCGCTAATTATTTTAGGACCATTTTATACGTGAACTAAATTTAATTTAAATTATACAATAGATTATATGTGCAAGTGATTTTCATTTAATTGTTGGATCTCATTTTTATGAACAATCTCTCAAGGCAAAAAGTCCAAATCATACTGATTTTCTTATATTAACCGTTATACCAATTTTGTCATTTTCATTGTTATACTATTTCTCATTTTGTTTGGGTTTTAACTCTTATTAATTCTTATATCCCAGATGTAAATTTATTAAAACTTTATTATCTTATTATATTCATAGGTGTTAAATTATAAAAATTGTGATATAGAAACAAATGATATTTTACATGTAACTAGGAAGATTTGTTGTTATTGTTATCCAAATTTTCAAACTTTTCAAAAATTGAAAATGATTAAAAACTTATAATAAGACAAAATTTTATTACATATTTTACAAGGTTATCTGAAAAGTGAAACTACTTTTCATAGTATTTTAAAATATATAAATACAAAAAAATTTTAAATTATACCTATAATCATTTATTATATAGGTATGTTATGACTTATGAGTACTTACTAACTAAAGTACTAAGTTTGAATCATTAATAAAATATCTTATCATTATTTCAAATAAACTTTCTAATACTAATTTAAGATAAGATTTTAATGTAAAATTGTACATGTATTCCAAAAAATAGTAAATTTTGATCCTTAATCAAATTTACCATGTTAGTAAGAATTACTATTTATGAAGCCCAATTCCCGTCCCTCTCCGTCGGTATGCGATTTTCCTATGACTCTATAAGTCGAACCCCAAAACAGCGTACTAACATAGAATAGGAATCCTGTAGAAGAATAGAAACGAGAGAATTAGGGATTGGTTCAAAAGAATCAAAACGAGTACACAAACCAACCGAGTAGACATCGGGGAGGAGATCGAGTGCAGCGGAAGATGACTGGTCTTCGATCGTCTGGTTCAGGGCTGCCGGCGCTTTATGTTTGGACTTTGGCCGATACCGTGACGGTACCGGATGTTCATCGCCTCTTCCTCGTGTGTGTCGCGATTAGGACTGAGATTTTCTGTGACTCCATAATTGGCCGCTATGCCCTGGTTTCCTTTGCGAAGAAAGAACATGGTCAGTTTTGTTGACATCCTGCTGTTGATGAAATTTTTTTCCTTTGCTTTATAGCTGCTTCGTGTGATTCATATCTGTAGTTGCAAAATTCATTATAAGGTTGGCCTTTGAGGAATTACTGATTGTTCATGTCTCTTGTTGCAAATCTATTTAGATAAACTTCTGCTTAACCCTTTTCCCCCATCTTTGGCGTTTTTAAAGCAGACCAATTGTGTCATGAACGAGTGATTGCCAACTGTTGATCCATGTCTGTCGTTTGTGGAAATAGATTAGGATTTTTGAGGAATGAATTATCGTACTAGGACTTTTGTTGAAGAGCGAATACCTGTTTCTCTTTTTGAAGTCAGAAATTGGAAATGAGTCCCGATTATTCTTGCATATAGGCGAGCTGTAGTTGGGACCTTCCTTGATTTAGTACGTGCCAGGAATTTATTGTCATGCAAGTGTCTGTCTTTTGTCTCAGTATCTAAGAGTGATGAAATATTTAAGTCTCTTCTTTCAGTGGTGCCTCCTTAGAATGGGATCACATGGCAATTTAAGTTTTTTTTCCCTTGTCAGAGAGATCCTTGATCAAGGTGATCAATGGTTAACGTACAAGGAGCATTTTTCATTTAACCAAAATATATCATCTATGATAACTGTTACAACATTATTTTGATGTGTGGGAACCAATTATTGTGTGCGGGGGGTGGGTTCAATGTGGCTTCTGTTTTATTGAATATCGCCTGGTCCATTGGAACGAGAGTTCAATCCTCGCCTTCTTAATCCCCTTTCGGAGCTTGTGCATTCCCACTTTCCTTGTTTTCTTCCATTTTAACGTAAGGATTGATTTAAGGTATGAAAGAACGGCTCTAAAAAGATATTTATTCCATATGCAGCTTATCGACCATGGCTTTTTTCCTTGAATATTGTTTTCCTAATTGCAGTTCAGATCCGTGCTTTGCTTTTATATTATGTTTCATTTTGCAATTCTCTTCAAAAGCATAAGAGATTGCTTGCAATAGCAAAGCATGTTTTTGTCATAGTATTTAGTTTTATTCCAATCCTTCAAAGTGCTATGTGTAATTATTTTTTCCCTACTGTTTTACCATAATGATGACAGCTGATTTGGCAATGAACAAGCTGGCCTCTGCTACCCTCCACGGAAGGCCTATCCAAATGATGGATTGTCATCCATGTACTAAAATGTCTGGGCTGGTTCCTGACACGTTGTTTGTGAGGGTACTGTACTTTCCTTTTTTTATTTCTTTTACTTTTTCAAAACTTTGTAGCCTTTGTGAGTTTTTCTAACTATTTCTTGGAATTGCTTTGCCCTTCTTCTTTTTTTTCTTTTCTTAATCCTCACCTTTTTGCAGAACTTGCCAGACAGGGCTGACATTGAACTTTTGGAATACCTATTTTTCAAATACGGAAAGATTTGGTATATCAATATCCCAAGACGTCCTGATGGTCAATCAGCCGACTATGGCTTTGTTCAATTTGACAGTGATGAACCTTGTCGAGCAGCTATTGAGGAGATGAATGGCTATGAAGTGCTTGGACTGAGGCTGCGTGTGGACCCTTATTATCTAGACCCTGAGAAGAAAATTTTTGAGCTGGACAGTGCAAAACCCTGTGATGGTTATTCACAAGATGCAGCTGACGTGGTTTGTGCTGTTCGGAATGTGCTTGCTCAACAGATAAACACGGGTGCAAGCAAGGTCTGTATCCTGTCTCTTTGTTGACTGAAAATCACGCATCTATGTGATCGTGTATGGATTTCTTTGTGAGTGCTGTATTCTGAAAGTCTGGTGAATGTCTCTCTTTATTCTAATTTCTTTTGTTACCTTAAATTGTTTGGAACACAAATCCAAATTTCTCTTGGAAATATTCTTGTAGAAGTTAAAGGTTCAACATATGCTTTGTTGAGTCAATGATTTCTTTTTTTGCAATTCATTGCAATGCAAAGTCATCGGATAGAATCACACTAACAGAAAAGTCTAAAAGAATGGAGGAGAATACTCCGTTGACAGTGAATTTTGCTAATTATTTCTTGGTCTGTAAAAGTCGAAGCTGTTGCTGTTACTGAACCACCCTTTCATCATCAGGCAGCCTCATGTAGTAAGAGAGAAAAGGTGAAAAAGGTAGAGCTTCTGTATGACAAGATATATGCATGTCCTTTTACTCAATTCTTGCCAAAATGTTGAATAGCATCTTCTGCATATTCTTGGTCATTAGATGGAACATGGAAGAAACCACTTTAAAGAAATTAGAAGAAGAGTTGAGTTGGAGGGTTCAAAATAAGTGCTGTGTGTTCCTCTAGCTTGAGAATGACAAGGAGGGTGAAGCAGGAATTAGTGGGCAAAATTATAGATAATTTTTTAAAAACATTCAAAATCTTGTGTTTGAGCGAGGGTATCAAATTGATATTGTGCAGGGAAAATTGCTGCCGCAGATTGCGAAAGTGGATGCTGCTGGTGCGTTTACTGATTGTGGGACAGATGCATTGCCGCCCATGGGGAATGTTTTGATTGAAGAGCTTTCAAGCCATGTTGCTGATCGGTTGGCATCATTACCCTTGACTGATAGCATGTTTTCCTAATGGCTTCCTGAGCGACGAATGGTGTGGATTATTGCACTAAGAAACACTGTAATTGGAGCTTTCTCGGTTGTTTATAGTAGGACATGCATTGTTCTGTTATGTTCTAGGATTTTAATATCGCCTGTTGATTTTATGGATGGATCCTGTTATATTAGATGCTATTTAAAATAATATATAAGTACTTTATAACTTTTAGTGAAGCTAAGCCGCATTTTCTGGCACAAAGCAGTGGAACTGTGTTCCCATGGATTGGGGGCTCGTAGATTTGCAGGTTTGGCTGTATGGTGCCGGTGCACACAATGATGGGGGTTTAATTTGAACTTGGGTGGATGATTTTGGGACAATTTTCAATGTGTGACAAAATTTGTTTGTGTTTTTGCAAGTTATTATCTTTGTATCTACATCTATTTTGTTGATGTCTTTACTCACCATACAACTGGCCGGTGCTTGTAGAAGATCTAGAATCCTTGCCGTTTCAGAAAACTTTTTGACATTTTCTATTTGTGGCATATGAAAAAGTTTCTCGGGCTTGATATGTTGAAATGCATGTTTTGCGAGTGCAATCTTGAAAGTGACGCTCTCTTGGTCATTGCAGCCAAAAGACAAGCCCAAGTTTCGAACATCAAACAGAATATCCTACATCTGTAAAAGAAAGAGTGAATGGCTGAGATGATCATTAAACTATTCAAAATGGCACTTTTTGGTCATCAAATATTTTTTGTGGCTAAAAAGATCACTAAATTCATATAAACGTACCAGTGGAGTCATTTTATCGATTTTACAGGTGAATCATTCGGTTACAAGGATACGTAGAGTGAGGGAATATTTGTGAAGGGATAAAAATGTCCAAAAAAATGCAAACCTGTTTCTTCCTTTCTCGCAAGCCGTGTTGGTATGGAGAAATTGTCTTCTAGTGTGAGAAAGAGTAAAGCAGATCACGGTCTATAAAGTGCAAGATTGCCTTCCACTTATTATTTTACTCTTTCCGTGCATCAAGATTATTACCATCATCATTATCTTCTTTATCTTCTAGTATGATGTCAAACTGTGATGATTCTGGTTTTCCTCTTTGACTTGTCATTTAGGTATGGAGCTTATGGGTTTGTAACTTAGCTCTTGATGGCATTATTTACAACGGGCTCCTCCCTCTTTGCCTGATTTTTTGATAGATCTAAGCCTTTTTTTTTCTATTTTTGTTCATATAATTATAACTTGAACAACATCGGATATTTTAGATCTGAGCCTTGCAACGGGCTCCTCCAATGTGTATATTAATTCTCACCAACACTGAATACAAGTACAATCACCATCAATGGCTGCCGGAATTGCCGTCGCAGCCGGCTCCCAGTCCCAGACGATTGTTTCCGGGTCAACTCATTTCTAACCCGAAAACCTACCTCCCTAGTCGCAGATAGTCTGACGTTTTCCCCTTTAGCCCAGCGATTCAGCACAACTCGGAGGTGTCGAAGGAAGCCCAGGTTGAGGGTTTGTTTTGTGCTAGAGGATGAGGAATTGAAAGCCCTGTTGCTGAGAAGCGAGGAGGAAGCCCTAGAGCGCGAGAAAGTGATGGCGAAGCGGATCTCTGATGCAAGAATGGCGGAGAAACTAGCCAGGGAGATATCAGAATTTTTTTTTTGGTACAACTTGCGAGGAAGGAAGAAACAGGTTTGCCATTTTTTTAGGACATTTTTACCCCTTCACAAATATTCCTCCACTCTATATAGCCTTGTAACCGGATAATTCACCGGTAAAAATCGGTAAAATGACTCCGCTGACTCACTTATGCGAGTTTAGTGACTTTTTTGGCCATAAAAAAAAGTTTGATAATCAAAGGTGCCATTTTAAATAGTTGAGTGATTATTTCGGCCATTCCCTCTAAAAGAAAACCCAGTCTTGGACTTTTGCAAGTAAAATTAATTCCTGCAACATAATCAAAGAGCTCTCTTGGATGGCGGCCTAGAAACATTTTCTAAGTTGGTCAGCAAAATATTTTCATGATTGTGCAGGGCAGAGCCAAAGTTTAGAGATAAGATCGGATTTTTTTGTTTTTCACAAAATGAATTTTTTCCACTATGTTTAGACAGATGTTGACTCTTAAAACATAAGGGAAGAAAGAGACATAATGGAACAAAAAGGGTTGCTTTTGGTTTAGCTGAAAAATGTTGGTATGGATGATTGGAACGATGAATAAGTTCAGACTTTGATAGATAAGTTTGTAGCGTCTGGTCTTTGAGTTAGTTAGTTCTTATACATATAATGGTTATAGCATATATATAAATTTCAGTGTATAAAAGAGTAATTCATTCTAAAATGAAACAAAATTTTGAGATTACATTGATACCTCAATTTGAAAGAGCAATGTAAGAAGTTAAAACCTTACTATGCATAATCTTGCAGTTTGATTTGAGCCATCTGTTACAGGTTATCGACGGCACAGGAACTGCAAATTGATATAGATCCTTGGCAATCTCTCAGAGAGTACAGCCACCTCGAGATAAAAGATTCACAACATTTTAAATAAAATCGATCAAGTAATAACACTTCTTTAGTCTTACAAATGGGGAATAAACAAGGAGTAGATTGTTTTTCAAGACATGATTATGCTCTTTCTTACTTTTTTTGGTTGGAACAGGAGTCACATCTTACGAAGTAGACCTGAAAACCAAGATGATGGTGGTGATTGGATACGTTGCTCCTGTCCAAGTGTTAGAGACTGTATATAAAGTGAAAACCGCCGAGTTATGGACCACTCCCGCCTGCTAGCCAAATGCAAGGAAACCTGTCATTCCTCCCAAAGACTAAGTGCTATAAGCCATGGAGAACAGGCAAAGAAGACAACTACATAGACCCCGTGCCATGTAACATTGAAATGAATAAATATACGTTTATATCTATAAATATTGTATGCTTAATTATATCCAATAGACATCCATGAGACATCATGACATAAATTAATCAATAGAGTTTCTCCATGTACGATATTACAATCTGGGTATCCGGGAAATTGATTGATGCACCAAGCTACTTCCATGAGCAGCTATAAATATAATGAGAGACTTTTCCAACTGCTTAAGTATGACCGTATTTTTCTTCCTCCAAGGTTTGTCAAGTCAACAACTACAGGTGCAAATTCATGAAACACCAGTCTTCTTCCTAGACTCCAGGATAAGAGGTGGAGGCATGCTTTATTGATAGGACTGTGCATCAAAATCGAAATCGGTGCATCAAAATCGAAATCGATAAATCAAAAGTTTGAAATCGAAATTTTTTGAAATTTTGATATGAATTTTTCCGATCGAATTCAATTTCGAAATGGCCAATTTCGATTTCGAATTCGACGTCGAATTCACTGAATTCAAACCTACTCTACTCTTAGTCTACTGCACTTCCTCCTCTTCCGCATGACTCCTCACTCAAATATCTAACCCTACTCCACTCTTAGTCTACTGTTATTCTACTTCACTCCCACCCACCACCCCAAACTCCTGCCAGTCTAAGTCTTCTCCGTTTTCTCCAACTTTCTCTACGCTACTTGTGATTTAGTAAGTAGTACAAACTGCAAAGCAAAACAACCAATGGAAGGAGGGTTGGAGCTGAGTAAAGTGACGCTGGAAATCTTCTCCAAGCTCGAGCAACAGTGGTTGCATCACTGCCAATCTCCCAAGAAGACTTGCATTCTCAGTATCGACGGCGGCGGAGTCGGCTCCCCCTCCGCCATCTTCGCCGCTCATTCCTTGATCCTTCTCAAAGACCAAATCCGTGCCAAATCCGCTGATTCCCAATCTCGCATTGCAGATTTCTTCGATCTTATCGTCGGCACTGGCATTGGAGCTCTCTATGCTGCAATGCTTGCCGCTGCCGATGGTTACAAACGTCCTTTGTTCATCGCCAGGGACACCGTCAGCTTCGTCGCCCAAAACCAGTCCCGACTCTTTAAAGTCAAGGCCATCCTCGGAATCTTCCGCCGACAATAGAGGTTCTCTGGCAGGAGCATGGATGTGGCGTGAAGATGGAGGTGAAACAGAGAGTGAGAGATAGTAAGCTAAGGAAGTAGGAAATTACAGTAAGTCAAAGGCGAAGGAAGGAAGGTGAGACAATGAGTTAGGCAGTAGAGGCAGAGGAAGGAAGATGAGAGACAGTCTTGAGAGACGATGAGGAAGAGGCAGCGGAAGAGTAACAAGAGTTAACATATTAGGTTTTTGCAATTTCAATTGTTAGATGCATCAATATTATTGTTATTAACTTATTATGCTATATAATATATATTATATATGTATTGTTAAAAAATACTATATTATATATATTATTATTCGAAATCGAAAGAACAGTTCCGATTTCGAATTCCTATTTCGAATTCCCCAATTCGAAATCAGTAATTTCAATTTCAAAAATTATATTTTCGAATTCGACCCGATTTCAACCAATTCGAAATCGGAATTACCGAATTCCATTCCAAATTATCAAAATTCCGAATTCGAAATTCAATTCAAAATCGGTCGGTAAATCGAAATTTTTCGAATTTGCACACCCCTATTTATTGATAGTTTGACCCAATTCTTCATGCCTTTCTACAAGATTGAACTCGGAAATTTGTTTAACCATCAGGATTTGTTACTTTTCTCTTGGTTTCCCTGTTCTCCTATCTATTTGCTCGGTTTGAAACTATGTTTTTAGATTTGGACCGGGTATCGACTTGATCGAACTCAGGGATCAGGGGTCAATGGGTTTGACCGGATTTGATCGGGATTGAACCGAATGACGTCATAAATAAAAATTATTTAAAAATTAAATTATTATATGTAAAATATCTAAGAACATGTTAATATTAATAAAGGTATATTCATATATATTTGATATTTTAAATATATTTAATAAGAAAATACAAAGAAATTAGAACAATCAAATAGCAATTTATATTATTTAATGAGCATTAACAAGTTTAGAATTAAAATTATGGACTTAATTGAAAAAAAATACCAAACTTTAAGACAACTTTTATAAAGTATGAAATATTTGAGATATATTAATAATTTTTAACAACTTAGGGGTCAAAATATAACATTAAAAATATTTTGACCTTTCAAAAAAAAGAGACCCGGTTCTTCATTTTTTTCGATCAAATCCGATTTTTGACCTAATTTAACCGAGTTTTTTTTTTTCTGATTTTTAGGTTAACTCGGACCGGATAGTTGGCTGATTTCTGGTTCGACCGGTCGGACCAGTATTCCGCCTTCCCACATTCCTATGTTCCGGTATTCCTTATATAGGCGTAATTAAGCAGAATCGTTATCATCAAATTAATGTTAAAAAAGGTGCGGACGTTTTTTGCGTGTAATAGCACGCTTTCAAAATTTTTCGCTTAAATATTTTGTTTGTATTAGCTAATTTTTTCGTGTATTTTTTGAAAATATTTACTGTAATAATGCATATGAAAAATTTTTACTATAAAAATTTTATGAAAATTTTGATATATTGTATGGATGAAATATTTTTGGAATTATTGTATATTATTATAACACTGTATTTAACAAATTTATTTTTAAAAAAATTGCCAATTCAAATAGAGCCGTCGTTTTCTAATCAGTGTATATCAAGCTATCTCGACCATTCATCACTCATTGTAAGTAAATCATGAAGTCTCACTATACATTACTCCACCTTTCATATGTGTTCGAAAGTGTTGTAGATAAGGATGGCAATGCAGGTAGGCACCAATAGGCACCCGTCCTGTGGGGGGCCATTGGGGCGGGGGGAATTTTTCCCCCCCATTTAGAAACGGGGCGGGAGGCGTGGGGAGTATGCCACTTGTTTGAAAAAAAAAGATATATATATGTGTGTGTGTGTGTACATAGTTATATATATAATGATATTATCAATTATACTACTAATTGTACCTGTCTATTAATAAAAGTTATTAATTATTTATACTAAATTTATTAATACATTTATATTAAATTCCTAATTACACTTAATACAATAATATTTTTTTCTAAATAAATATAATAATAATTTAGAGATTGTATTGTATCAAAATTCAAAGTGAAAACTTGATTATTTTAATTATATTTATTTTTATCATATTAGATTGTATTCAAATAAATTTTGTTTAATTATTTTTATGATTTTCAATTATAAAATTATAATGAATAATAATTTGACGATATATTGATATTTTATTATTTGATTATTTGCTCAAATTTAATTATAATGAAATTATATAATATAATTTTTTTTAACCCCACAAAGAAGTAGGGCGGGGCAGGGGAAGCCGGGAACGAGGCGAGGGAATTAATAGACCCCTCCCCCCCGCCTCATTGCCCCTCCCCCGCCCCACCCTGCCCTATTGCCATTCTTAGTTGTATATATTTCAGCACGTTATCACGTTGCAGTCAAATCCATCACTTTCATGTCAGTACAACTCCATGCCGCAGATGGATACTTTTATGGTAGGAACTTACCTATGATAGGAAGGCTAGCAGAGAGCGACACGTGTTGGGGTGCATACAGTCCAAACGAAGACGTTAAATTATTGCATAGCGCTTGGAGAGGAAATTAGATAGAATTGTCTGCGAATACAACCAAAACACACTGACTTCCGTACAAATTGGGCCAGAAAGTGTTATTGCAGGTTAAAACCAGAGTCATTTATGTATTTGCAAATGTACCCATTACCAATGGAAAAATGCTGCAAATGGCTTGGACAAAAAATATGCGTAAATAAGGTACTGAAATTTTAAGAAATAATAAATGATTATTGCACACGCGTGGGGAATAATAATTTGGAAGAAGGAAAAGTGCAGGTAAACGAAAGGATTCAAGCCTTCATTAAATTTATATACATATATAAATTTAGTACCAAGTGTTGAGCTTAAGCATGTGGGAAAATGGAGTAGTCACTATCGTTATGGTAAAAAAACAGTTTTAGACATGATATAATAGGTTGTAATAATTTTAGCAACCATTTGATTACCTGTTGGACTTATCCACTTGAATAGGATTATGCGTAAAAATAATGAAGTAAGTTTGTCATCTAAAATAGAAAGTTAACGTAATAAACTAGTAACTTTTGCAACCCAAAAGATGAATTGAAAGTATTATAAAACATACTTTTTAAAGAGATAAATTATAATTTTTATCCTGAATATAGTTTTAAGGGAGTAAGTTTATTCGAAATAATAGTATGTTTTTATACATAAATAATCATTTTTACTTATAACATAGTAAATTTGATTAATGACAAAAACATGCTAATTTGTGGTAAAAATATTCTATTATGCTTAAAAAACTTATGCCAAGCCCATATTTTATTCTTATTTGAAATAACACTAAAATGTTTTATTAATGAGTAAAACTGAGTACCTTACTTGGTAAGTACTGTTTATATACTTGTATAAATACTTGATCATATGTGAATAAATTAATATTTTTAAAATTTATACATAATTAAATTTTTTGTGTTACAGTTTAAAAAAAAAATAATCGAAATTTTTTTTGCGCAGAGCACAAAAATCCACAAGTCAAAAAGTTGGTCTGAAAGGAAAACATACAGTTGAATATCATTGTTTAAAGTACTAAACAAATAGATGTAAAATATTGGTTAAAAACTGGTACTTTGACATATAATAAAGGAAAGTCATAAAAAGTATGCCACTTATGGAAAAAGTTCTCATTAATAAAAATACCAGCTCTTCACAGCTTTCTTACCAGACCTCCAAAGAATGAGCAAAGTGCCAATAGTTGAAATAGTAAATTTTTCAATTTATACAGAATTAAATTGTTTCTTGCATTTTAAAAAAAACAATGAAAATTTTTTATCAGAAAGCACATAAGTCAAAAGAATTGGTCTAAAAGGGAAAGGAACAGCAGATATGTACTACAGTGTTGTTTTTGAAAAATACCCCGAAAAATATGTAATCCAAGTGGAACCGATTCTTTATTATTTAAAATACCAAATATGTGATTGTATTTTACCTATTATCCATTGGTATTCTAAAGTATCATGTTTCCATCAAATACCATCTTTTTAACACCCATTTTCCCGTAAAAATTTTATTTATTGTATA